ATCACCATTTTAAAAACAGCAGTTGCTTACATAAAAATCTTAAGGAACTTCTTGGGTGACAACAGACAAATGATCTTCACTTCCCCTTCTAAGTTGTGGGAGCATAGGCACCTTCAGAGCACTCTTGGGCTCATGGGGCTCAGACCTGTGCAGCATCTGGCCCCACGGTAATTGTAAGGCAAGCTCTGTCCTGCCCTCTCTGAATTTGCCCAACACTCTACTCTCTCTTGCCAAAGAAACCCCAGAACTGGAGGTTAGCAGAAATATTCTCCAAGGTAAATCAGTTTTAGTTATTATCCTGCAGGTGGGGTAGACCAGATGCCTCAGGGGCTCTGGGGGGACACACTGATGGGTATCTGGGGCCATTTGTCCAGATTTGTTTCCAGGAGGGCAGCCTGATGGGGTAGTTACTAGTTAAGCGTTACTAGTTTCATCACCTTAACACATGATCTTTTGTGGCTGTGGGTTTTTAAGCCATACTCTAAGGAGTTTAAATGATGAAGTTGGAGGGTAGTTTGTCCCTCTTCTTCTACATAAATTTTTGTATATAATCATGAATAGATATGTACAATGGCCCAGTGTCACCTAACAGTGGACACAGAGGTGAGCAATCTCATATTCGAGGCAGATCAAGCCTGTGTGTGTGAGCAAGGCAGTCTCAAGATCCACCTGCTGAGCATTCTTTTGAAACACCAGTCAGCACAATGGTTCAACCAGAAGTTTTCTACTGATTATGCGTATGTTCTAGATTTTGCTGATTTTACTGATAGTGTTAACAGAAAACTTGCGTAGGTTTTAGAACTAGTGTCCTATGACATAGATAGGATCTTGGAAATAAATGGGCTCTTCTTTACTTCCTGTTGTAGATTTATTTCCTCTTTGTTATCATTAGCATCTTCTTATCCTGTCCAAATAGATGGCAATGAAGAGAGGGGCAGACCCTGCAATATTCTAGCAGAACCCATGCTTATTTATGGGCTTGATACATGCTATTTTGTAGATAATTCAACATTTGTTATATACATTGATTAAATGTTAAATATGTTCTTAGTGTCATGTTGCTGTTGTATATATGTGAATGCAGATAGCTTCACCCAATGTGACCAGCTCATATTAGTTCATGATTTCAGGAAGAAAAAAAGTTAAAAGCCTACTTCTTTAGAAGGCAGTTAGAGAAAGAGAACAGTGACTATAACAGCCATGCTGGAATTTGTCCTCATTTCTAATTTCAATTAATGAGCAAAAATGCTGTTAATGGGTTGATTGCTGGTTTACATATTGGTTCCACTGGAACCAATTCAGGTTTCTCCTAAGGATGTAATCTTGAATTTTAGCTGATAGCTTTGTTGTTGCACTGAATGGAAGGATTAAGACTTGTATTTGTTTTATTCTTTTTTTCAATTTTTATAGATGGGAAGACTGTTATACAGTTTTCAGTCATCATTCTTCAAGCAATAAGTGTCCAATCATGGAGATGGTAGAATACCTCCCTGAATGCATGAAAGTAAGCTCTCTAAACAAAACTCCTTCTGGGCACATGATTGGCATGTAATATAATTGAAATTTTATTATTGTAATCACAACTTGCATAATAGTAGTTTCCACCTTCACATAAAGTTTCTAGTTTTCCATAACCATCTATGAAGGAGGTTAACAAGGGAAGTTAGTTATTTAATAAGGACTTACTTGGGTTAATGAATCCTATTAGTTGTTATGTGGAACATAGGAAATATGGTCGACAGATATTTTTTATCCAAATCATTCAAGACTAGAGCAGGGACTACTGTTAGTGGCTGCTGGCTGAATAAAGCCTCTAGATGTGTTTTTTTTTTGGCATGCATATTATTGTTTAAAATTTACATTAGTAGGTAACATTTAAAACCAGATGCTTCCCTTAAGGATCTAGATATCTGGCTTCCTGTAAAAAATGAGAAGGTCTGGTGACTGAGCCTATCTTTTCACAAGGCAGGTGTCGCTGACCAAGTAGCAGCTGCTTCCTTTAGGTGGGCCAAGCACTCTCCCATTGGCACAGACCCCCTCTTCCTTCTTTGTACGCACTAATGCGTAGTATTAGTTGCCATGTATTGTCATTTTTGTGCAATTGCTTTTCTTGCACTAGCGAGAGAATTCCCTCCAGATGCCTCTATCCAAACTGTGAAGATGACAACCAGCCCAAGGAGAGCCAGCATTTCAAGAACAATGGGAAAGAGCTCTTAAAGGCTGGCTCAGTTCACTCATTTACACTACCTGCCTGCCCTCTGTGAGTCTCCGGATGTGAGAGTTTCTGTGCTAGATTAAACACACATCCAGCACGTGACTAGGGGCACACTACAAGAGAAACACCCACAAACTGTTGAGTACATGTTTGTTAAAGGACATGGATAAAAGACCTCCTGGGAAAGTTGAGATTTGAGGATTGGGATAGACCTAGAAAAGTCAAGAAAAGAGGAATGACTTCAAATATCATTCATAGGGAACAACATATTCAAATACTGGGAGAGGCAGGGAGACATAGTACCATAAACTAAAGGGCCAGATTTGGACCCTGGTGGCTCTGGCATTTAGTCCTGGTTCCGCCTCTTGCTGTGCTGCTTTAGGCAAGTTATTTCGCCTCCTGAGATTTATTTTCTGTTTTCTGTATCTCTGAAACAATGATGTTAGTACTCCTCTTACAAAGTGATTATGAAAGTTAGTCTCAATATATAAAATGTTCAGGATAGTGGGTTGGCCATGTTATACCTCCTACTGCTTTAATGCTGCTTATGTGGTTATTAGTACTGCTAACACTTTTATTTATTCAGTAAGCACTTAGCATGTGCTGAGAGCTTCATTTTTTTCTGTCTAATAGCTAATGGAAATTGGAGCCAGTCCAGATCATAGATTAACATTTTAGATGTATAAATTTCATCAAAGGGCACACAAATATTCAGAATTGAAATGATCTTAGGTTTTCTTACTCAATAATTGCAGTTTTTGGAATCTTTCCTAATGAACGATTAGAGGTACAGACAGATATATATACAATGGCATTTCCTGCAGCATTTAATAATAGTAAAAAAAAAATGTTAGTCATATTCACATATGGAAAACGTAGGAAGAATTGAAGAAATTATACCAAAATGTTAATAAGAATTATCACAGTTGTGGAATTACAATTGGCTTTTCTTTTCTAGTTAGTTTTCCATAATGACTTTGTATTGTTTTAGTATCGTGAAAAAAATTTTTAAGTAGGGGAATTAATTTAAAGGTCTTTCAGTGTAGCTCACATCACACTTCTGAGTAACTTACATAATCCTTCCCACTCCCCCTGTATCCTCCCCTCTTCCAAGACAGCCCAAACCTTACTCTGCCTGTGCTGGTCATTGCAAAGCTGTCAAACGGCAACAACCAGACCTGACTCTGGTTCTGCCTGGCACAGCACTATGAACGAGCTTTGTCTTTATTATTCATGATGACAGTATGACCCTTAGTACCACTGCCTGGTCACCAACAGAGACTTCCTTGGAATATTTTAAGCCCCTCTGGTGCTTGAGACCAGGTAACATGGTAATGTCCTCCTGATGGGGCCTGGGTGCCTGTTTCTCCCCTTCAGGGCCCAACCTTCTACCTTTATATCCTGCAGCTGGGGTAGACTAGATGCCTGAGGAGCTCTGGGGGACACACTGATGGGTCATCTGGGGCCATTTGTCCAGGTCTGCTTCCAGGAAGGCAGCCTTATTGGGCAGTGTTTCTTTCTTGGGATCATGAATTTTGGACTCAAATTATTTATGTAGATGGGGACCTCACAAAGATACTTGTTCTCCCATAACCTAGAGGCAGCTCTACTGACCCTGTAAGTATTCTCTCCCTTTGTTAAGTATCTAGAGGGCCTTCAACATTTGTCCCTATAACATCAGTCCCTGACTATCCTGTCCTCATTGCTATGGATGAATATTTTGTCAGTCTTGCTCAGCAGGCAAGTACAGAAGCAAACACAGCCCTCAGGCTTTAGCAGTATAGAACATGGGATCTGGACCAAAGAAAGACCCCAGTTCTCAGCTGAAAAATCTCAAGGACAATAAAGTATCACTTAATATGCTGAGCAAAAGAATCCTTAATAACCTACATATTCTTTAGAAGCCCAGAAAGACATCGAATCTTAGGCAAAACTAATGGAATATTTCTTACTCAAACTTTAGTAAATGCAAGTTCATTCTCAAGTATATGATATTTTTCTGAGCACTTGCTGTTTCTGAGTTATGCAGTAGTAGTTGTGACACTTTATATTTTAAACCTTTCTGAATCACATGGATTATAGTTTATCTTTGAGGTGCAAGAAGCAAAGGAAGTGGAAGGGACTTAGGTGTTATTTAGAAATGGGATCAAATTCTTTCTCCTATCTAGTCTGCTGCTCAGTATCTTTACCATTTGTTTCTCAAAGGAACTTTTAGATTTCTGCATGATGCCCTCCACAGAAGACAAATCCTGCCGAGACTACCACGTACGTTGATCATATTATTGTAATTTGAACTTTATTTCATTATGATTCTTTAGAGAATATTAAAGATAATGGTAGAGTTCCACAATATCAAAAGATGTAATCATTGTCTTCATTTGTCATATTATGTTATCTACTTGTGAATTTTCCCCTTAGAACCTCGGTTTTCCCTCAATATTTTAACTGTTTCTAATACCATTATTTAGGGTTGTTTCTAGTCTTTATATTTTCTTGGGTAGTATTGTCTGAAGAATGAATTTCTAAGAGATCTAAGTAATCTTTTGAGAACGCATCTTTTTCCATGACTACGAGTTATAAAGCAATTGAACAACAGCCTTCTAAGATATTTGTTTTTGGAAACTAATATGCAATAACTTAATTTATTTTTCTTCAGGTGAAATGATTCAACTTTATTTGAATCATTTAATTTTCAGCAGAATTGTAGGCTTGTGCATTTGATTTGTCTAGAACTATGTTGGAGTCTATCCCAGATTATAATTTTAAAAAATTTTATCTTCTACAGATTGAGTATAATTTCAGGTATCTACAATGCCCAATAGAATTCACCAAAAAACTATCACCTTCACAGGATGTTACATATGAACCTCTTACACTCCTCAACGTAAGTCCACTGTGTTCACTGTCCAGGTTGTCTCTGCATGGGCTCTGTAATGTTGTGGTACAGTGGTTCCGGAAAGGGGCTTGAAGAGAATTCCAGATTAATGGTTTTATGTCTGTGTCTGCCATGTGGCCTAACCCTTTATTTTTTAGTAAACAAAGAAGCCATTTTCTACAGTTGCTATAATTTAGTTGCTTTGAAGTTCCATTCTCCTGACTACTTTAGTCCTAATGGTCATGTTAAACCTGCCCCACCCCAGAATCCAATAAACCACGGTCAACAGGCTGACAGCACTTGCTCCCCACCTCCATCCATGCATGTATAGACATACATATTCGAGTTTCCTTCTGTGTAAACCACAGAATAATTTAGGGGGTGACATTTTATAGTCATAGCTTCCAAGTTCAGTCAACCACTGGGCTCTTCGGTAAACGCTGACCTTCCAGAAGAGTGAACCCAATCTGACAGCAGGCCCTAAACACACAGTATGGATCCAAATTTCCCAGGAGACTGACTCCAAACCTGCTCTTATTCCAAAGAGTACTTTCACATTTCCAGCAGATGAGGCAGTAAAAGCCACCCCAGATGATCCACTGCAGTCTGCACCAGGGGTCTCAGCTTCAAATAACTATAGGCAGTACAGATGAGTGGGCTTCTTGTTTAAAAGGACAGCAGCTACTAGTTTCAACAAATTGTTGCCATGTGTGAATGGCAACTGGCTTACGTAAATTTCGGCAACAAATTAAAGTCCTGTGTGTGCAAAGGAAAACATATGTGAGGGTTGACTTTGCTAATTGTGGCCTACGGTCTAGATCTGTGGTTGTCTATTATGGCAACCATGAGCCACATGTGACTACTTAAATTTAAACTAATTACAATGAAGTTAAAATCCATTTCTTCATTTTCAGTAGCTACATTTGAAGCAACCCAGAAAGGCTATATGGCTTGTGGCCATCATATTGAAGCACACAGATACAGGATATTTCCACCACACAGTTCTATTGGACAGCAATGTCCAATAGATCAGTTAAGATCTAATGTCTTAGATCAATTAAAAATTTTCATTTTTATCCACCTTAAATGAACTCATTTCCCTACATGGGAACCTGTGGTATAGACCAACCATCACCTGGGTGAGCTCTAGAAGGCTTATTGAATACGTGGAGTAGAAAGCATGTGGAGTCAGGTGGATTTTATGCCCCCAAGGCTGCGATGGCAGCTGACTCTCACATTTGCTTTATGCAAAGCATTTTAGCTCTGCTGGATTATGTTACATTTTACAGTCATTAGTGTAGTCCACTCAATAGCCAGGTGACATGAAAGTAACTACACTACATTTATATGAAGGAGAATTCTTATGTATGTATATGGAAGTTTTCAAATTGTAATTTAAAAACAGGCCACACTTCTTTCAGAGTTTATTGTCTCCACCAGTGGAATAAGAATAGGGTGAAATAAAATCTTTGTACCTTCTAATATAGGAATGGACTTTACATAATGTGGACTCAGTATAGTTTATATGAGACAGGCTTGCTTGAAGACACCTCACACAGTGGAGGACATACCAGCACATGACTGAATAGTACCTTAGTAATGCAGCAGATCTTGCCTTAGTTATAAGTGAGCTGAGTCAAGTTCTTCTGGAGGGATAGCCAGTCTGATATGTGTAGGAAATTATTGTGCACAAAAGTCTGAAAATCTAGATGGACCTGTCAGTGCTTAGATTTAGGGAGGACAGAAAACAGTCCCTTGGGCAAGCTGCCTGAAAACTTAGAATATTGAACCCTCGTCAAAGAGAAGCCAGGATTGGGAATTTTCTCTTGTTCTCAATGCTCTGTGCTAGTTGGGGGAGAGGCTACGCCAAGTATATGCCATGAATTTTCTTGCTCTCTTTAATGTAGTTCTTGGATACAGGCTCACCTGAGGTGCAGGAACCTCCTAACTGGTCTCTGGATTTCTCACGAAGTTAGTTGGTCCTCATAGTGTCATTAGGTTGATGTCTCCTGTCTCTGTGGGTGAAGGAAGATTCTTCCATCTTGCTAATAACACTTCCTCTATGTATTTCTTGAATAATTAAAAATTTTGAAATAGATACTGGTAGTTTCTAATAACTCATGAAAACTTATAACTAACAGACTAACTAAACTACTACTTCTGTGTACTGTACTGTTTAAATTCCTTCTAGAAAGATAAGCCTGAGTTTCTTCAAGGAAAGAATAAGGTTGTAGCTCTAACTTTTTTTTTCCAGTTGTAACTTTGTATAAGATTAAAACACATGCTTTCCCAACTAGTAGAAATTAAAAGAGACAAAGTGAATCGAATAATTGTGTCTGTGTATCTCTAGCTTGTATTTAACAATAATTCTTAATGTAATTTTTGATTTTTCAAATTTTCTTGAAGAAAATTTTTTATAATACCAAAAGATTTTTATAATATCAAAGTAAAGTTACAAAACCAACAACAAAAAAGCCTAGTTTATACTCAATAGTTTAATATGATTCTATTTTTATTGGTTTCTCTGTATTTCTCAGACAATGGTACAACATAACCGCATAGAGCTTCTCAACCATCCTGTGTGTAAAGAATATTTACTTATGAAATGGTAGGTATTAAGTAGCATTTCTTTTTAATAATTTATTGAAAGTCTAGTAAATAATTATGTTTAAATGGAATTTCAGTGTTTTAGATCTTATTATTTTAATGTTTTACACCTTGAAAAAGAACTGTGCAAAATCCAAATTTTGGCATTAAAAATGCTAATATTGTTTATCTTTAACATGAAATGAAATATTTGGGGGACATATTATATAAGACATGAAGAAGCATTCCTGGGTCCTGCAGTTTAGTGGACAATGAAGTGGGGGGGTGTTCCTGGAAAGAGCAATCAGATTGGACTCAGAAGATAGGAGCTAATGTCTCTGCTCTTCCATTAATTGGTAAGAGATTTTGTTAAGTAAATCATGATTTGCTGGGAAGCTGAGATTCCTTTTCTGAAAGTGAGAACAATGAATTTGAAGATTTTAAGTTCTAAAGCTCAGTGAATTTACCAAATAGATTTTTGAGAGAGATAATTACTTTTTCTGCAGATATCTTAAGTAGATATTTTTTGTTGTAATTACTCAATTACGGTTTATTTGTTTTTTGTAGGTTGGCTTATGGGTTTAGAGCCCATATTATGAACCTAGGATCTTACTGTCTTGGTCTCATACCTATGACCTTCCTTGTTGTCAGTATAACGCCAGGCATGGCTTTCAATTCAACTGGAATCATCAATGAAACTATTGATCATTTAGAAATATTAGACAGCAAGGTATTTTCAGTTGGTTTTCAACTTTCTAAAATAAAGGATTATTAAAAAGTGTGTTTTTTATTCTGAATACTATACCCATTATAAATCTGTAATATTAGAACTTTGATTATAATAAATAATCAATAGCCTTCATGTATAGCAGCAATTTCTCCTAAAATCTTTTATGGAATGAGAGGAAATATAAATAAATAGGTCAATAAATGAGTTTGTAAATTAATTTAAAAGGAATTGACATGTAAGAGATGCTTACTTGAATAGACCTTCAAAAACGGTCTACAAGAAAGCAGATTTGTGGCCACTGGGGATTTTGGGGAGAGGAAAGTAAAGCTTAGTGGGTATGGGATTTCCATTTGAGGTGATGAAAAGGGATGGAACTAGATGGTGGTGACTGTTGCATGATGTTGTGAATGTACTTAATGCTACAGAATATACCTATAAAGGGACATGTAAAATGTAAAACTTTTAAATCAGTAAATTTTATGTTATGCATATTTTACCACAGTAAATACACACACACACAAATTTTTTATGGAAGTCTACAGATTCATATTCCTTTAGAATTCCTTTAGAATTGGTAATTTTTGAATCTCTCCTAGTTAGGACATTATGAAATGAGTATGTCATCTTTATATTGGCATGACAGTAATTTTCTGTTTAAAGCAAATATGGGCAGTACATAGAAATGATGAAAAAGAAAAACAAACTATATATTTAATTGTGGAAATTAAGAAGCTTAAGTGTTTATATCCCTCATAATTGCTTTTCCTGCACTTCTTTGTTTCAGAATTCATATCCTATAAAAATTTGTATGATTTTAGTTTTTTTATCAAGTATATTTGGATGCTGCAAAGAAGTGGTCCAAATTTTCCAACAGGTAAACAATGCATTTTATATCTCTAAAGTTGCAGCTGTGGACTTACTTGGCCCAGGACTCCATTTCAAATGGGTTTTTCTTTGAATTCCTTTCTTAACAGGAATGCTTTACTTTATTGGATAAAATTTCAAGTTATAATAAAATTTGGGGGCATAATTCTACTTTATGCTCTATTTCTTTAAACAAGGTGAGATCACACCCACAAATTATGTAAATTATCTACAGGTACTTGCTTTGGTTGATATATGGCATTGATCCTTTATTTCTCAGTGTGGAGATTTAGAGTCTTTTATTCATTTTTTTGTCAATGTTTTTTTATAAGTTATACAACTTTCACACATTTTATTTTCTGTGAAAATTTACTGTTATATAATATAAGCACATGGATATTTGTATTAAATAATGATGATAAAAGTGCTTTGCATTTGTTTAATGTTATACACTCCTAGTGTATATACTTTCAGTAGGTTGTCATAATTCTGTTATACTGTATTGTTCCATTGTATCTAAAATAATTTAAGGAATATTATTTAACCGCTCTTGTCACTGTTTTCATTTTTTTAAAGATGAGAATTACAGATTATAGTCTAACTTGAACTATAAAGTTATATGATTTCTCTGTCAGAATTGGGCTCAATTTTCTTACTGATATTTAATGGTCTACTCTACAGGAAATTTCATGTCCAAAACATGAAATCTTTAAGAATAGGAAGTGACACCAAATCATCTGGTAATGAAGTCCTAGCACAGGTTTTAAACCTCCTTGGAAGCAGCTTTAGTTAATTTGTATCCTGAGCCATCCACATGCATGTCCTTATACAGGCAAGAAGGAATTACTAAACCAATTTGTGGAACCCCAGGAGTTTCCTAAGATGGAGTGGATTCTATGGGGAAATCCCAGAAACTTGTAGAATTTCCTTGGGCATGTTACTCCCAAAGTGCCAGTTAACAGAAGAGGCTGGGCCACCTCCAGCACTGACCCATATCCAGGGCTCTGAGTTCTGTCCAGCATGGCAGGGACTGGCCACTTGGTCCTAAGCCTTCCCAGATGCAATGTCAGAGAAATGTCATTACTGGTGGCATATATACAACCATCTGTAAGATGCCAGGTCTCAATCTGTACACGTGGTGATTCTTCATTGTTTTCAACCCCAGAAAGGCAATTACTTTTTGGATCATAACAATGCAGTTGAATGGGTAGTCTACACAACAAGCATCATTTTTGTGTTGCCCTTGTTCGTTGGTGTTCCAGCCTATGTGCAGTGGCAATGTGGGGCAATCGCTATATACTTCTACTGGATGAACTTCTTACTGTATCTTCAGAGGTATGACCAGCATGAGTGATTTCTGTGTACTGTAGGCATTTTAACTACTCTAAGTGCCATCAACTTACAACTGGCTTGTTCCTTTTCCAATTGTTTTAGACTGAAGAGATCTGAACATACTACTAAGGAAAAGGGGAGGGAGGTTTGCAGTTCAGAGTGTAGACCAGGATTTCCCAGCCCTGGCACTGCAAAAATTTGGGGCCAGAGAATTTGTATTGTGGAGGCCGCCCTGGGCATTACAGAATGTTTGGCAGCATCCCTGGCCTCTACTCAGTAGTGTCAGCAGAGCCCCTACAAACTGTGATAACAGACAGTGTCTCCAGATATGTCCAGAAACCCTCTGTGTGGGAAAATCACCCTGGATCAACAACCACTGGTCTGGACAAATCTAGATAAATGTGGAGAAAAACTGGGAATAAAAATACTGGTTATTCTTGTTCTACCTAGTATTTGGTAAGCATTTACTTTAGTTTAAATCTATCAAAATCAAGTGATATGTATGGGGAATAATAGTGTTATAAGAGAGAAAATAAGCCCAAACAATCTAATTCTGGAGGGGACAAAGAGCTAAGCTCTTCAGTCTCCCACAATTGCTAATACTGAGTTAAATGTTATTTCATATAATCTTTATGATAACCAGAGGTAAATATTTTTACTCGTAGTGCATAAAAGAAGAAGTTTTAGCACTGAGTTAAGTAACTTGCCCAAGATCTCAGCTAAATCAAGATGTAGGCATTTTATCCAAGTCTTTCCAACTCCCAGGACCATGCTTTCCCCAGCACAGTGTCTGCATTGCTGTGCCACATGCACAATGCTGAGGGCTGAGCCTAGCCCTTTGGAAAGAATGTGGTATGGTGGGAAAGCCATGGCCTGGGGACAAGAGGCACCAATACAAGTCCAGACCTGCCACTCCCTTGGCTTTATAGTTATCAGTGACCTTAGTGAGTTACCGGACATCTCTGGGAGCTTAGTTCCTGTGATCTCTGAAGTCCCTTTCAGCTTTAAAATCTTGTGACTCCTCCTATTAACAAGTTGTCTTTGCCAAAGGAAATGTACAAATTAGTGGCTGGATGATACTGTCATTATCTACCCAAACATTTCACTCTGCACTTTGCTGGGGGAGGAAAAGGAAACCTCAGGCGGTTATGAGGGTGGTGAGTCTAAGTCATATTGCATGTGTCCTGTAACATGTGGCTTTGGTGACATGAGCTCATTTAATCAATCTCTGCTGGATGCTTCACACAACTCTTCTCTCTGATCCCTTTACCAAGCGCTTGGTAGCATTGTCATTGATACTGGGAAGCTATGACATTTCTCTCCTACTTTGGCTAAAGTAATATCCAGTGGTCAAATGGTAAAACGAAGGTAAACATTAACAAGAAAGAAAAAAAGGAACAAAGCAGTTTGACAAACAGCTTGTAAATAAGGCTTGACTGTTGATGGATTCTCAGGTCTCCTGTTAAAGTAACGGGCCTCAGTTATCTCCCCTGGGAAGCCTAGTACTGGTGCATGATAAATACTGACACTGAATGGAATCCAATTTGACATGAAAAGTGAGTAAGTTTTTTAATTTCTAAAATGTTCCTAGATTTGAAAATTGTGGAATTTTCATCGTTATGTTGGAGGTAACCATGAAAACTTTGTTGAGGTCTACCATTGTATTCATCTTCCTCCTTTTGGCTTTTGGACTCAGCTTTTACGTCCTCCTGGGTTTCCAGGTGAGGCAGTTGCATTAGTGGTGGATATGCGGCTGTAATTAGTGTCTGTGCTTAAGTCTTAATGGCCTAGAAAATTAACAATAATATTTGAATAGTTTTTTAAAAATGTGATGTAATAGCTTTCAAATGATGTTCATTGCAGTAAAAAATATGGTCTTACTAAATGACTTTTTTCCATTGTGATAATGTTTATGTATAATGCATGATGATTTGTTCTAAAAGATCTTTTTGATGACTACCACTACTTTATTAGTAGTTCTTACCACTTTCAGTAGCTGTAGGCCCATGATTGTAAAATAATATTTTAAATATGACATACCATTTTACTTTCCAGGAAGCATAGTTTTTGCTGCATGCATTTTACGTGTTGTTCTGACCTTGCCGTCTTTTCTCAGGATGCTTTCAGCTCTCCATTGCTTTCCATAATCCAGACCTTCAGCATGATGCTAGGAGATGTCAATTATCATGATGCCTTCCTAGAGCCATTTCTGAGAAATGAACTGGCATATCCAGTTCTGTCCTTTGCACAACTTATAGCCTTCACAATGTTTGTCCCAATTGTGCTCATGAATTTACTTGTAAGTAATTTAACTTTGTGTTTTCTGTTTGTTGATCACTTGGGGCAGGTAACAATGATTAATTATTCTTTGCCTCCTTAATCTCTCTCCATGAAGGGAAAAAGGGACTACCATAAAACCCATTTTTTCAACATTCATTTAGTACTTGGGGTATGCCAGGCACAGCCTGAGGCCCAAGGGGATGCAAAAATATATGCTCTTGGCAATACTTAAGAATCTACTAAATGCCAGACACTGATCCGGGTTGTGAGCAACAGCTGTGAATGGAACACACCCACACCCAGTCCTTACCTTAAGCACCATACTGCCATGCCATGCTTGTCATGGGGATACATGCTGTGAAGAACTACAAAGCAGAATACAGAAATATAGGGGAATGGAATATGCTTCTTTTGGTTTGCAGTGGGCATCAAAGGTTAGGTGGAGATCTGCATAGAGTGAAGGTTAAGACCTCATCTCTGCCCTCAAATTTCTTTTTGAGCAGAGATTCAAGTGGGGAAGAGCCTCTCATGCAGAGAACATCAGCAGCATCCCAGTGACACTCTAAACCAGTGAGAGGCTGGGCACCCTCAGCAGACAGGAATCAGCCCTGCCACAGAGAACCTGCTCTAGCCACAAGCGCCTGGGCCAATACAGGCAGAAGTAGCTCCCAGGTCCACGGAGAGCCCTAGCTGGCTTTTCAGTGCATGCTTTTCCTTATTCATTTATGTGTACATGCACATATTCAGTATACTTTTTCTGAGTCTAACCATGCAGCAGGGACTGTGATAGGCATCTTTCTGCGAAGAAAAATAATAATACAGACTTCTTACTATTTTGATTCACTTATTTGATACAACTCCAGAGTTTTATTTTGATGACCTAGAAAAATAAAGGATGGCACTAAGAATAATAAAGAATGACATAAAGGCTGCACTCTTCTCTTTGAATCACTTATTATTGGGAAGATAATTATCTAGAGGAGACTTTTGCCTATAAGTAGGACAGGCTGATGCCATGCTCACGGTCCACATATTCGGTGCCCACTGAGCGCTCCACCCGCATATCCCAGAGGAAGATGGGAACTGGCGGAGCCAAGGCCGACAGCACTCTTTCCTTCAATGCTGTGGCTGCCGTCCAGTAGCACCTCCTCATGACCTGACTCAGATCGCTGGAAGCTGTTCTAGATCCACTTTCTCCCCTCTTCCTCAGTTCTTCCAGGAGCATTTGCCTCTCACACCTCCTTGCAGTCAGCTTCCACACTCATGGTTCCTTTTCATACTGCTGCGGCAGCCTGAAGAGTCCGTCTCACCTCACTTCTCTGTCTAATGCTCCCTGCAAATTGTCACCATGGTGATGTTCTGATGAGGAAAAGCTGGGCTGGGCAGTGGCTTTTTCAAAATTTTTTCTATGATTCTTCAAAGGCTTCAGTACAGTTTAAAACCATCAACATAGCCCACAAGGGTCCTCGTGATCTAGATCCTACCCAGATCCCACCCAGCTCCCCACTTGTCAGGACTTACTCAGACACACCACTCATTTACTGGATGTGCCAGAGTTCACATCCCCTGGGCTCTGCACAGTCTGCTCCTTTTCCTGGAAAGCCTTCCCATCTTGGGTTAGCTCTGTCTAAGCTCTCAACACTCTGCTCAAGTGTCATCTCCCCTGGGTGGACTTTCCTAACCAATCCCTACCCACACACACCTGAAATTACCTAGATCTGAATTGGTGCCCCTTCTTTGTATTTCATGATTTTGAGGACACAAATCAGAAAAAGATAATAAATCTCCTTTGTAAGTGGTTGTAAAAATGAAATGAGCTAATACAAAGCATTTAAAACAGGGTTTGGCACATAGTAAGCAGTCAGTAAATGTCAGCTACTACTAAATATTAATAATTGATCCACTGTGTGACTTATAAGATCAGATCCTTTCATAGCCCAATCAAGTATCTTGAATGGGTTGATAAGCAGCTGGTATGAGGTAGTTGGTTTTGATGGGGTCTGATATAAACTAAACTAGAGAGAAAGCCCATCTAAAAGGCTTGCAAACTAAAAAAAACAAAACAAAACAAAACAGAAAAACATTATCCTGCCAGAAAAAAAACTCCTTGCTGACTAAGTATGGTTCTCAGTGATGGATTGCACAGCCTAGAATATATACTCTTGTGTTCATTCGTTCAGCAGCTACTTTGCTTCCCTGCTATGTATCCTGCACTGTTCTAAGTGCTGGGCATACAGTGGTGGCCTAGACATAGTCCTCATCTCATTGAATTTACTTGACTTTAAGCTTCTTGAGAGCAGGGACTAGCTTTTTCTCTCTGGCTGCAGCATACAGAAGGCTGGTAAGCACAGACAGGTACTGAATATGTACTGAATAATGAAGGAGTGACTATAAGCTGATTTAATTTGGACTGAGCAGAACTGAGCTGACAGCCTCCCTCACCTGATTCTATCTAGTCATGGATTTCTAGATGGAGTTTTTTTACCAGAGCCTCCCCCACTCCTAAAGTGTACCTTTTTCTGCCTGCCAAATACAAATGAATTCCTTCACTGTCTCAACTTAATGTTTTAACTTTTCCATGTTGTCAAGTCAGTCTTGTTTATATCTTGGATGCTGAACTCCTGCAGTGTGTAACCATGTTGCATGACAACACCGATAGCATCTGCTATCTCATCATGCCCTGTCCTCTCCTAAAACAGCATATTTTTATTTTAAATTAAAATGAATGTCAGATTAATTTGTGTGTCTTAATTTTTCATGATAACACTTAAGATTATTGGACCCACCAATGTGGCCATCACTGTTACAAAGATCTGTAGGCTTTGCAGTTTTCTGTATGGTGCGTTAGCAAAGTGGGTTGAGGGCATTACATGCTCACTCCCCCACGGTAGCCAGAGAGAAACCCTACTGCCTTTTTAGGTGAGCCCTTAAACTGGTAAGATTCAATGCTGTGTTGTATTTCAGATTGGTTTGGCAGTTGGTGACATTGCTGAGGTCCAGAAGCATGCCTTGTTGAAGAGGACTGCTATGCAGGTAGGTATTATATTTGTTTAATACATATTGAAATTAGCACCATTCCAGTTATCCATATACAGGAATAGCGGATTTCTGGAACACAGTTCTTTCATCTGGGTGTTTTAGTACTGAGAGGCACCCCAACATCCTGTGCCTGTGGTGCATGTTCTCTGGTGAAGCTGCTCTTGTCAGAGAATCAGAAGTGATGAGAAGATATCCTAGAGTAATCTCAGTAGAGAATTGGAGAAATGGCCCAACCCTCTGTTTATGTCAGCATGGTGCCAACCAGGCAGTGGAGCTGCTGGACCAAGAACATCAAAGTGTGAGGTACTCTGCCTTGTCACAGTCCCACTGTTTGAAGAAACTCTTGCTATTATGGCCACAAAATTACAAGCTTCCTGTGGCATGTGTTTTAGCAGACAGTTAACTGCAGCCACGAGGCCTGTTCCCTTGTGACATCCCTTTCATTTTTCTGGACAATTTCAGGTAGGATTTGTTAGAGTCAAAGGTTTCTGGAGAGGTCCCTGCTATTGAATCTTATGAAGCAGTTTCCTACTCTACTTTGAAAAACTATTTCTATGCTCTTATTTGAGGTGTTACATTTCAAATTTGGATGGGAATATTTGATGTTTTGAAAATATCTGAGGACCAGTTGAACACATGCATTCAGAAACTTAGGCCAGTTTAAGAGAAAGAAAAGTTCATGCTAAGATACAGCTTTCTCCTCACTCTTCACTTTTATTTATCACATGGTTTTCTTCTCTGTTATTCAGCCAGCTGTACATTAGCTTATGTTTATTCAAAAAATTGCTTCCATATATGGTATGTGCAAAGCACAGTACAACTTAGCATGAGACTCCAGAGGGATTAAAGGGATGTGATCTTTGACTTTAATAAGTGAAATAAGTCTAATTAGAGAGCTTACCAACTAAACATCAAAGTCATTTTAGAACCATCCTTAAAACTCTACATTTTGTGACTAAGCTGTGTGTTATAAAGAGATCTTGGCATATTTAAAATATAAAGATATACAAATGAAGTGGTAAGATGTCAGGTGCAGAGAATAAATGCAAAAATAATAAAGGAAATTCTATGTGGAAGAGTTGGGATGTAAGCCAGGCATTGCAAGATGGGCTTTGGAAGGGCAGTGGTGCTGGTGCAGAAAGGAGGGACCCAGCAGGAGCCAAGGGCAGAGGGCAGACCCAGGGAGATGGCTAAAGATGGGTTCAGGGCCCCCAGGGCTGAAGGTGGGTGAAAGTCTGCTCCTGATAATAAAGGGCTTTATTTAAAAGCAGCGAATGCTATATTGTACACTTGAAACTAATATAATACTGTGTCAACTATACTTCCAATTAAAACAGAGTAAGAAGAAATGAATAGATGTGTTCTTACCTCTCAAAAAATCAGAAACAGCAAAGAAAAACCTTAGCTTTGAATGAAAGGGCAGTGAATGATGAAGTGCTTTAAGTTAATTTTTGTTAGTGAGTGGGACATTATTATCAGCCTTTCTGAAGAACAAGAACAAAATAAAAGTAATATAAGACGATCTATTATTATCTTGGTGTAGTGGGGAAAGATTGGAGGAAGGAAGGGCCAACGACTGGTTATTACCATAACAAAGATGGAGGGAAGGACTCCGGGTAGGTGGACGAGGAGAAGAAAAGGGATGTATAAACCTCTTAGTAGGCAGGTCAGCAGTACTTCATAACTAATAACTCTTGAAAATACCAGGAAAAATTTTTTAAAAAAATGAGAAAATATCAGGGAGAAGTCCACCAGACTACAGGGTCACTGCAGTTCATTTGAAAATTATATAGTATATTCTTGAAAACTATACATATATTAGATTTGATCCGTTCCCCAGAACAAAAGAGTACAAAGGCTTTAAAAAGAAGCAGGCAAAGCAAGTACTCCCGTATTACCTGTTGTTTGGGTCAAGGACAATATTGACTTGAAAACCAAAAAGCCATTCTCTTCAGTTGTAGTTGAAGCAACTCTACATCTGTGTCCGACTCTCTACATCAGACTTACCTCTGTCTGAGCCCACAGCAGAACTGGGGCATGAGGGGATGGCAGTGATGCATTTCATACAGGGATATTTTACCTCTTCTGTGGTTTGAGAGCCATCTCAAACACCAGTGAGTACAGAAGGGTCCCTGGGACAGCACATGCTGGGCGATGTGCACACTAAGTGAACTATCAGTTCCTCAAGGAGGGCTTGGACCTGTTTGATCAGTTTCTAACACTGGCATCCCCACTCTCCAGGGCCGGCTGGCAGCTGTAGACATTTCATAAACATTCTCACACATGCTACAAATCACAAAGAGAAACCCACGGAGAGCATTACTCTTCAGTGTGGGAAAGTCACTTGTTAGAGGAGGTGAAGATGCTCCCTTCACCCGGAGGAGCCACACCCAGTAGCTCCCACTGGACCCACCAAGATTGGACTTGGGTCTTTGCTTACCATCCTCCCCGGGACTGTTTGTGAGAAAGAAAATCTGGCAGTAACTATGTAGAGAAACAGCAAGGTGAAGACACCTTTTCTTTATAGTTTGGCAAACACTGGACTTGAATAAATCTCTTTCAATCCACTTTGAGTAACTGAGTGATAACATGTGACCTCTCAACAATGTATACGGCAAAGGGAATGGCATATTGCCCTAAAGACCCAGGGGGAAAAAGGAACCCTGAAAGTTATTTATTGTAGAAACTTAAAGATAACATCTGATTGGTATTGTTAACATAATACCATAAAGTATCACTTATATTGAAAATGGAATGACATGTAATATGTTCAGTGGGAGCTGGTGCTATAAAAATAACAAGGGATGTGTTACGTGGGAGAGGGAGGCTACAGTTTTGAACAGTGTGGTCTGGGAAGTTGTTACCATCTCACCATTAATGCATGCAAACCACTTCAATGTTCATTTATAAAAAAGCATATGGTCTTAGGTTAGAAAGCAAAATCTCACTCCTATGGTAATTATACAAAACATAGCTAAATAGCAGATACAGAGGCTATTAAAGAGTCAAAGGTAAATTTGGCAAACACAAAGAAAAATAGAAAATATGAGCATTAAAGTAAATATAAACTCAAGAATGTTAAGTGAGATGAAAGATTACATATCTTAAAAAAGAAATTAAGGTAAGTTGAGGGTAAGCTACTTTGCACCTGGTAGCACAGCGTGAAGAACATACAGATACTCTCAGGTGTGCCAGCTCTAATCCTTTCGTGGCTTCCCTTTGAACCCCTCCAGGGAGGCCCTCCTTCTTCCGCCTTCTTCTCCCATCCTCACTTCCCCGTTGTGCTCATTTCATGGTGTAATGTTCCAGGAATACAGACTGAGTCTCCTTCTTCTTTATATGCCCAGTGTAGGTCACAGTCCCAAACAGTAAACACCTGCTCACTTAAATGGAATTTCTTCTTTAAACAACTTACCCCTGACTGCAGATCGCTGCCCCTGTCTTGCCAGGGAATAAGGTGGGAGGAAGGGCAGGTGACTAGCAGGGACGGGAACTCGGCCAGCTGGGCTGCTTGTGCATAAACCAGGACACAGGAGTCAGTTTGCCATCCGCCATCCTAACGATTGCTTCTGTGCAGTGTAAGAATTCCAGATACTCATTACTAATTCTTATCAATAAATCCCTAAATGAACTTTAGGTGGAACTTCATACCAGCTTAGAGAAGAAGCTGCCACTCTGGTTCCTACGCAAAGTAGATCAGAAATCCGCCATCGTGTATCCCAACAGATGCAGATATGGTCGAGGGTTCATAGTAAGTATGTAGCAAATATCAGCATAAATAATGTTATACTGCTTGGCATTTGTTCCTTATGTTATTTCTAAGGGTTCCCTTGTATAGGCTTTTTTAAACAAGTGCATGATTAACCCATCATGTGAAACTGATGGGAAATGGGAGGAGGAGCATTTGCTCCCCTCTTCCAGTGGTTGATGCACTGCATTGGTGTTAAATATGTACCATGTCCCCATGAGGGCAGACAGGTAAGTGGACAGCTGTACCCTGTAAGTATCTTTGTTACAGTGCAGGTATATTTTTTGTTCTACCTAGTTACATGTTCACTGACATATAGATAATACCTAGAACACACATGTAGATATACACAGATACACACACACACATGCATGGGGAGTATACAGTGTACAAAATATACAAAGTGCCACAGGCCCTTGTATTAAAATAGAACAAGGACTGAAGTGAGTCAAAAGTGCAGATGCTAACCCTAACCGTGTCAGGGCTCCCTCCTATCTCTAGGAATATTCTTTCTGAGTTCTTTGTAGTTTAATTTTCCATTGCAGAGTCACAAAACGATAAAGTCAATCCAAGTATTGGCCTAGGGGCTTTATTCTAACTCTGCACTATCTCCCTATATGATTTCACTCATATCCATGGTTGCAATTACTTCCAAAACACGAAGGCTCAGCAGTTGATTGTCTAGCCTAGAGCTCTCCTGTGAGTCCCAGGCCCCAATATCCATCTATATCTCCTTGGTCTTCACTGGTCTGTCTCAAAAGTACCTCAAATTCAGCATGTGCAAAACAAACTCGTGATCTTCACTCCTCATGGTTTCATTCTCTCCTGACAGCCCCACAGGGTAAAGGGGGGAAGGCCTCATCCTTCTCCAAAGTTTCTTAGTTAATGTCAGCAACATTCCGTGTCTGTGCAGGATGTCATCGGACTTGCCTGCTCGCTCTCTTCACCCCTCACCCCCGCTCGGCCGTGTTGGCTCCATTGGCTTCTGGGCGGCCTGTGCAAGAGGTCGTCTTTGGCCCACACTCCTGGAATCACCCTGCTCCTAGTCATTTCATATCTGCCCTAGACCCTCTCCTGTCCACCATTGCTTTAAAAGACACTTAAAAACTACAAAAGCAGCATTTCAGAAATTTCCCCATGTGAAATTCACTTGTGTTGGCTAATGACACAGAGCAGTTTTAGAGAACACACAACTAACTCTGTATGGAATGCCAACACTTACGATGGACATTTTTCATGAGAAAATACAAAATGATTCAGATAAACCATTTCCTGGACAACTACCCACTCCAGTCAGCTCCTTCTTCTATATTATTTATATATCTTGTACTTTCCTCTATTATAATATGTATGTATGTATAATTTTATAGCTCTTCATTTTATAGCTCTTTACATGTCTGTTTCTCTCAGCAGACTGTGAGCTCCTTGAGGGTCCTGGCTGTGTCGTAGAATACTTGTGCTAGCATGTCTGGATCAGTAGCTAAATCACAGCACTTGTTTAAGAAATAGTTTCTGCATTGAGTTCAACTTGAGTAATTATTAATATTTTATCCCATAGCATGTATTTCATATCTTTTGCACCCATGAAACAAGACAGGAAATACCAAATGTCGATACAGCTTTAGAAATAGAAATATTGAAGCAGAAATACCGGTATGTACTTTTCCTTTTTATCTGTATTTGAGACCTCGAAATGCTTAAATAATGTGCAAGTTATAGTGCCTGTTTGTGTTTATGTCATATATTGAGTCATGGTTTAACTGACTGATGCTGGTAGTATATTGAGAATCATGAGACATTTTTTAGACCCAGTAACTTATTTACTGTAATTCACTAATCAGTTTTCCAATCAGTGTCTTCATCTGCATTTTCCACGAGCCATCTGACTTCATACATCCAAGCTCTGAAAGCTTTTGAGGTTCCCAGAGAAGCTACATTGTACACACTGGTTGAGCATGAGGCTTTAGGGTTAATTCAGCCAAGCTCTCAAAGCCCTACTCAACTATTTACTAACTGTATGACCTTGGAAAAGTCATTTAACCTTTCTGTGCAACAGTGTGTAAATATTTAAAATGGGGACAAAAATAAACCAGTGATAAATTAACAGTGTAACCTTTAGGAAAAATCACTTAAACTTTATAATATGTATTCCTTAGACTATGGATTATGACTACCTGGGCAATGTTAATCTGATACAGAACACTTCTAGTCCCTAGTCCTTTCTGCACTCAAGGGCTGGAAGGATAATTGAATATAAATTCATGAAATATGTATGTCCCCTATAGGCTCAAAGATCTCAATTCTCTTTTGGAAAAACAGCATGAGCTGATTAAACTCATCATTCAGAAGATGGAAATCATCTCTGAGACAGAGGATGAAGATAATCATAGTTCTTTTCAAGATAAGTTCAAAAAAGAGCAATTAGAACAAAGGCATAGCAGATGGAATTCTGTGTTGACAGCAGTAAAGGCAAAAACCCACTAGCCCTTAGCATTAGTAAACCATGCCTGGATTAGGGCTTCCTGTGAGCAGTTTGCATGACTTACTGGGTCTAATTTCCAATTTGGAAAGAGTGAGGAAGAAGCAGAAATACTATTCTGATTCCATTCCATATGAAATCATGGTTTCTGCATTCTATATAAAAGTTAACTGCATCTTTCTATTCATATTTTCTGCCAGTCAGTATGTATAGGGAATATCTTTGCTAATAAGTTCAAGTTGGACTTTATCTGTCATTATTTGAGTGGGTAGAAAACCAGTTTGCTAGAATACACATCTTAATGATAAGGAGCAATAAAATATAGCTACTGAGCTAGAATACAAATGTTAGTACTGGACTCCTGCTTGATAATTATATAATATGTAATACATTAAACAATAAAGTATTTTATTAGGCTTTACCATTTGATATGCTTTCTTGTGTTGGGAGAACCTATGGGAGCCTTGTGCACTGTTGTGACCATAATAAATTGCCCCGCCCTTCTTGCTGTTCCCAACATATCCTATGTCACTTTGAGTTGAGGCTCAAATTAGTAGACTCTATGATATGCATGAATTTTACTATAGACACCATATGTTACTTCTGTATTGTTTTGTTCATCAAAGATCACAATAAATGTAAAACCTATACAGTCACCTCAGTGATTTCTGTGCAAGCCTTTTATTGCATTTAGTTTTTTGGGAATTGCAAAAATCTCTTTGCCTCCATTATATACACCCTTTGTTCTTCTGATGCCCACTGCAAAGTGTGAATCAGTCACATGCCTTATCGCTGATCCTTCCAAGGTCTTTACCTTGTTTTTTGCCTCTCACCCTCATTCTCCTATTATTCCCTCTCTATCCCAGGAGACACCCATTCTACTTAAGGTTTTTGGCCATATATGTATCCTTGTGTCAGTCACACTGAAGAGTGTTGGTTTGGATGTGTTTTATTTACATAGGGTTCTTGTCCTCTTCCTTCTTTCCACTAGATGTTATGTCTATATGATGCGGCTGGGGTACCATCTGCCATCTAGCACAAGGCTCTGACAGTTGCTTAGTATCATTGTGTGCACCCCCACATTGGACTCATATCTTCTCCATAGATGGGCCGCTTGGGGGTCTACACACCCCGTGATCACAAACACCCCTAAACATACCCACACTTATAGAAACAGAGTGCTGAGTGATAACATGTTATTTGAGAAAAACAAACATATTTTTATTTATGGTCCAGCAGAACACATGGCCTAGAGGCAATATTGGATGTGCCTTAATCTTAGGTTCAGAGAAGGTCTTTGTCTTTTTTTTTCCTTAAAACTGAAAAGTTGGAAATTTACAATACAGAACAATAACCAGGGATGTCTTGATCATGAAAACCGTGGTCTTTTCAGTATTCAGCCTTCTCAATCTTTGTATAGCATTGCACAATACAGATCTTCGTTCAACATTTATTGAGAACCAAGAAGGTGTGAATTCCCCTTTTGTGGGAAATATTGAAATTAGGATGTTATCTTACCTGCTCTCTAGGAGATTAAAACAGAATGAGTCATCATTTAACTTTCTGAAATTCTTTCTTCCTTTTACCCCTAAACACCCACTATTTTTCTACTGCTCCACCTAGGTTTTCCACTGACTTCTCTTACCTGCCTGCTAGCTGTATGATTACACCCTTGAAGTCTGTGCTTGACCCTCTTCTCTCACATACTCCTCTCTGTAAGCTCACTGGTCATAGCACAACATATTAGCAGTTTGTACCTGATTAATTGATACATTCCCTTCTGTCCCTTCTCCCAAAGTCCAATTATGTATTTCCGTAGTTCCTCAAATTAACCTATATAAATATGAGTGGGGGTACTAAACCAGCTCCTAATCTCCTATGTTCCAACAGCTTCCTATTCCTAACAGCATTCTTGCAGGCTCCTGGACTTGAGTCTGGCATACTGTATTAATTTATCTCTTAGAGTACAGCTCTAAGCCTTCACATTCACTCTAAAGAGCTTTAAAGGCTTTCTTTTTCCTTCCTAAGCAACCTAACCTTCTTAACGTGGCTCTTCAATCTCATTTGGCCTTCTCTTCCAGTATCGTGCTCTTCACCCAAATCAGAAGATCCCTATTTCATCAAAAGACTTTATGGCTTCCCATCTCCCTACCTCTTTCCATGCTCTCTTCCATGCAGATGTCATTTCTCCAACTCTTTTAAAGCTCAGTGTAATGGCACCTCCACCTTGAAGCCTCCCTAATGTCCCAACTGACAATGTTCCCTGCCTTCTCTGAACTGGTGCCACTGCATTGAGAAATGCCACTTCAACCTGTTTGTGTGTGACTCCCTCGCCCACTAGGGGGTAGACTCCTGAGTTTCATGGTTCACTATCATTATTAGTCTCAAACTATCCAAAGAATTATATCCTGCTTCCTATTTTTTTACCCTGTATAGCTCCTGGCACTGTGCCCTGCACATAATAGATGCTCAATGAATACATACACATACATTAAATAAAAATCTGTGAAAATAATATAGGCTTGAAAGATACTGCAAGAAAAGTGGTTCAGCTTGCCTTCAAAAAGTCATTTACTGTCCCTATTCTGTTGACCCTGTGTGCTACCCAAGTTGAGTGATTTTCCCCTAATTCGTAGAAGGGACACCAAAATAACACTTAGATGCCTTTCCACTGCTTCATTCTGTTTTTATGGTTTTTAACTATGGTTAGCAGGGGAATAGGAAGAGCTTGTACTTTGCAATAGACAGTTTGAGCCTTAATACTGACCCTAAGCCCTATTGGTTGAGAGACTCTAGGTATGTTTCCACATCTCTAAAATAGTGATAAAGCCATATATGTGGTGTTGGTAGAATCAGATGATATCATGCATGCAAAGTACCTACCAAATTAAATGCTATTTCCATGTGTTTAAGAGAACTGATTTACCTGAGCTAAAAGAGGTCATAAAACACTGCAGCTTTTATACTATACGGATCACTCATGGAATTCCCTTGGAAGCTAACTAACTGGCAGCCTGATGCAAGCAGACATTCCCAGGTACTTGCAGATCTCATTAGCTAAACAAATCCTAGAATATACATATACTACAATAGAAAAAAACCCTTCACATTTAGAAAAAACTGGTTAAAATAGTCATCATAGCACTTTTTCTTATCTTTGTTTTGCTTTGGATTCAAATAAACAAACATCAACAGAGCAGCAACTCTTGCTAGTCAGAATAAATCATTGAGTATTTTTTAACTATTTTGACATTTGGTATGAGCAAATTGAATAATAGTAACAAGAAAAAGGCTTATAAAATATTTACTATATCAGGCACTGCTGAAAGTGCTATATATTAACACTTGATACTCCAAACAAATATGAGATAAGTGCTATTATCATTATCATCCTTGTTTTGTGAAAGAAATCAGAACACTTCCAGAATGAGTAGCTTGTTCAAAGTTACATTGTGAGATATGAACTTAGCAGTCTACTTTTGGATTCTGTGTTTTTACCATTTGATATATACATGTAATCTTTTTCTATGATATGAAAAATATTTTCTATGAAACCTAGTGTCAGCTTTACGGTCCCTTAAATAAAAATTAGGAAAAAAATTTTTTTTTCCACCCAGGGATTTTATACTTGAAAGGCTCCCAAGTAGGTATTTGCAAACACTCATAGATAAATGCATTTGAAGGTTAGGAGACATGGGATGCTATAGACATAATAAAGCCGAGCTGCGTTCTAGCTGTGTGAACAAGATACTGAAAACTCTCTGTTAAGTGGGGATAATACGAGTACATCTAATAGAGTTTTACTGAGGATTAAATGCATGAATGCAAGTAAAACGTTTGGAATAACTAATTGGCAGTGTTCTAACTAAAAGCATTAAAGAAATACTAGCCATCAGGGAAGAGTGAATCATTTGCAAAGACCCGGAAGAACAACCATTTATTTAAAACGTTCTTTTTATGTTTATCCACACTGAGGAATGTAAGAACTATACAAGGACTTACCTTACAAATTCAGCCATCATATCCTATTTCAGATTTTTTTCCTAGTTCAGTTCCCACCTTTGTCAAGTACAGTTGAACTCATATACTTGATATGATCTCACCATTTCACCAGATCACGAGGGACATTTTCTAAATTGTAAAAACTCAAATGGGCAATTGCTTCTTTTAACATGACTCAAACAGACATTGTGTACTTATATGTCCTTTCACTAGTCTGGTATCTGTCTCAAGTTATGGATTTATAAGAAGATGGTGAAAATAAAATGTATCATTTGAAGACTGGAAAAAAATATTAGTACATATAAGAATTTTCCATGTTCTCTTCCTATCTGCTAACTATGTTTAGGCCACAGATTTATTTTAAAGGCTTAATGTTAAGGGTAATGAGATTTAAAAGACAGCTTGGAAATCAGCTGCATCTTCCCAAATAACCATTGGCATGATAAAAAGTGATTTTTTTCAAACCTATCAAAGTACATCTAAGAAATGTTTAACCTCAAAAATCACTTTATGCATGCATTGTATGCAGGCCCAGGGCTGAGAGAGACCCCCATAGCCCAGGGATTCCAGGAGCCACGCTGGCTGTAGAGCCCTGCAGAGCAGCAGCTGCATGGCTGTGTGGTTTTGAGTGCAATTAGGAGCAACTGCAAGAATTGTGAGCTGAACACCTCCTGACGACGTTAGGGAATGATGTCTAAAAACTAGTCAGAGCCGAATGACAGAGGATCTGTCTCTGATGCTAGGGCTCGTCACAGTTCCATTTTCTGGTTGCTTCATGACAAGTTAAATCTAACTATTACATCAGAACACTCTACCTTGAAGTCCCTGACACCAAAATCTTTCATACTAACATGCCTCCAAGCAAAAGAAGTTTCAGTGGGGATACAGGAGAAGACAGACTGAAGCTGTAGGCCACTCTTTGCAAAAATGTAGAGTCCCCAAAACAGGCATCCCAGTATTCCCACAGGTCTCAGGAGGCAAAGGAGACTTGAGAAAACTGAGCAGCAAACCTAGTGTCAACAATAAAACCAGCGCCCTCTAGAGGTGTGATTAATATTGAGCCTAAACAGAAGACACTGAGGGAGACTTCCGTTTTATGCAGGAGTATCTTTTATCCCAGGAAAACCTACAGTGGCAGTTATGTATGATTCTGCTGCTTCTGTTGAAGTTTATTGGTCACTTACAAGGGTAAAAGTAAATGGTAGTATTAATTGAAAAAGGCTTCTATTGCAATGGTGGCATTATAGTACTTAGGTACAGAAGGAACAACCACATGTATGGAATGGTACTTTTATGTGAATCAGAAGTACTTAGCATCTCAAAGGAGGTATAATCCCCTCTCTAGAGCCAAAACTGAAAAAACATAATTACTGAGAAAAATTCTCAGAACAGAGTTATCAGTGGTAACCTCATTTTAAAAAATTGATGGAGAGTCCTCCCTGGTAGCCTAATGAATCAGGCATTTGGCCTCCTAAAAATTGATGGAGAAGAGTAGAAGGAAGAGAGTTACTATGGCTCATGGACAGAAAGGGTCTCAGCAGTGTGTCAGTGCCAGCAAAACTTGAAAGGGGGGCTTCACTTGCACCTTCGAAATAAGCTTACAGGAGTCCAATTTTGAAGCAATACTGCAGCTCTGGAATCTGTTAGAA